GAAGTTAAGGACTGTAATACTTAGATGTCTCTTTTCTCAGTCTGTTCCCATCTACCCTTTCTTACTTGTCTTAGCTGGAACAAACTGAATAGATATGACTTCTACCACTTCTACTTACTATTTACGTGATATTTCTGTGAATCAGTTTCTTCATCTCTAAAATTGGCATCATATCATTACCTGCTCCTCAAATTAATTAAGTAAGATATTTTAATCAAAGAGCTTAGGACCGTACTTGGCACATGGTAAGCATTCAATTGGTGTTAACAGTTGTTATCAATATTATTATTATTAATATGAAAGTTAAGTTTAATAGAAAAGTTAGTAAATCTCTTACACCATAGGTGAGGAACAACAAGGAAGTGGACTTGAGATCAACTATTTTGCACTGTATGTTAGATATTGCAGTGTTCCAAACATATCTGAGCATCCAAGATGCCACAGGCATCTTGTTTTCAGTTACACCTGGAAAGATTATTTATTTAGAATATTTGAGATAAACAAGTGTGTCAAGATTGGAGAGAAAAGAAACTCTCATTCATTTTTTCTAGGAATATAATATGGTATAAATATTTTAGAAAACAATTTATCAGTAGTTCACTATTGAAGATGCATATGCTTATGGTTCAGCAAATCTATTCCTAGTAATATTCACCAGAGTAATTCTTAGATTTGTATATGAATGGCATGTATAAGAATATTATTTATAGTGTTACTTACGATAGGAAAATATACAGTTATGAAAACTAATAAGTTTTGCTATAATAATCCACATGGATTAATCTCAAAAGTACAAAGTAAAAGAAAAGAGCATGTTTCAGATGAACAATATATACTCTAATGTCTATATAAAAATTTAAAATATTAAAACAATGTTATAGATTATTTATGAATATACTCACATAGCAGTGGGTGGCATAAAACATAAAAATAAAAACGGATAAAAGAATAAAAACAGTGGAGAAAAAATCTACAAACACAGGAAAGAGTAGTGACGCTGAGGTGGAAAAGAGAGAAACAGAATCAGGGGGAGTATTTCATTTTTTAAAATTTCTAAATTTTTATTTGTTAAGCTGGAAAGTGAGTGTACAAGTCTTTATAGTATCTGTCTCTCTTTAAATATCTATCTACTATGTATTGTATTTTTTAAGAAAACTTCTAAATTAAATGCTTCCAATGGAAACAGAAGACAGACAAAACTCCCCTTTATCATTCCTGGAGAGTAAACCTGGTGGCTACTCTTCTGGCTAAAGAAGAAGATGGTTTTGTTTATTCTGAGGAAGGATTCTATAGAGAAGTAACATCTCTGAGCAAGGCGGCAGCTACAGTAATCAAGAAAGAACCCCCCAGACAATACAAAATCTGGGAAGTAAACAGTCAACCTGCTCTTTCTTTTCCTTTCCATCTCTAGACACCAGGAGATTGTTTCTTCAACATTCCTCAATGAGGGAGGCAGGAGGAAGAACAGAACTAAGTTTCATTTAGATGAGGGAGGTGTTTGGTCACTGTCTCTATTTCTCTGGCCAATTCAGATGGCTCTCCTGACTTCCAATTCCATGTGATGAACAGTGCAGTTTCCCTTTCTACTGGAAGGGCAACTCACCTCAATTTCAAATTGCCTAAAGTACAAAGGATTATTGCCCCCCACAAGTACTAGTTCCCTCTTTTTTGCCTCAGTGTTATTGTTATTCTTTCAGGCCACCAGGCTTAAAAACTCAAAAGCATCTTGGCTTTCATCATTTTATCATTGTTGTTGCTATTATTGTTACTGCTATTATTATCATTATTAACCTTCTTTGTTATGGAATAACTTCCTCATCCCTCTCTTCCATTTTCATTCCCGGCAACTGTTATTTATTCATTAAAACCTCATACCATTAAAACCTATTTCCAAAGTGCTCTCTCTGCATCCATGTTCCCTGTGCTCCAACCCACCTATATACCATTCCTTGAATGATCTTCCTAAATCACAGCTTACAACATATTGTTCCTAGGTCAGGACCCTTGCGGAACTTCACCATCTAGAAGCTGAAGTGCAAATCCCTTCAAAGCTGCCACAATCAAACTTACACCAGCATCATCACACAAAGCCTCCTAGGATACCCTCCAAAGAATGCTCAATATCCTTCCTTCCCAGCTATACATAAAACCAGCCTATTCATTTTCACTTCCTGATTTCTGTACTTGACATTGCCTCTATTTCAGTGTTTCCCAAACTTCAGGAATTCTGGTGTATCTTCATGATTTTTCCATTACCAAGTACCATCTGAACTATTTTTACTTAGTATTTTTTTACAGTGGATATATATCCACTCACATTTTAGTTCTGATAAGTCTTTCAAAAGCACATTCCTATTAGTATCATAAATGAAAAAACTGGCATCTATTGGAATAAATAGGCAATGACTATAAAAATAAATGTTATTCTAACGGTTATTAAGTTATAACTAAGTATTTTTTGCCTGCTAAAACCAATGAGCCTGTTACTTACTCTGTTGCTATAAAAGAGATTAAACAAGTGTTAAAATAATTTTAAAGTCATATCAACAGTGATAAAATTTTGTCCTTGAAGAGTTGAAACAAATTTAAACAATACAGTAACTTTCTCACTGTGCAACTCAACGTTACTGATTGTCCCATTCACATACTGCCTAAAATCATTTCATCCATACAAAGTTTGGGAAATGCTGCTCTGGATGAGATAGTCTCTTCATCTTTTTCTGCTGATTTCAACTCTGCACATAATTCCAGGCCTGGCTAAAAATAAAGCTCTACTACTTCCCAGGCTATATTCTCTTAGTATTCAGTACACCGTGACCTCCTCTGGCTTTCTAGGTATATGTTTCTTCCATGTTTTGGGAAGTCACTCCACTCTGCTTTTAACTGACTCACATACACGTTTTCAATTTTTCCCCCCCTAGACTCCAATGATTACAGTTCAGGTAAAGATTTATCAAGGTTTCTTTAATCCCATGACACTGAGCATCATATATTCCAAGCAGTGGGAATTAATCAACAGTGATGCCAGGAACGGCATGAGTGATTGATAAATTGTCACTTTCTCCCTTTAGCCATTTTTGAGAACATATCTCCTCTGGTAGACCAGGACCCCCTCAAGAGCAATGCTTCAGTCACTCTTTAACCTCAAAGCCCAGCCCAGTGGGAGGACACTGATGGACTGCTAGAAGTAATTGTTAAATGAATAAATGACACTTCCTAGAGAGAGTAAACTATAGATGGGATTCAGTAACAAAAACAATGCTGCCCTTTTATACAGTATTCTATATTTATCAAGTGCTTCTGCAGCTTTCCTTCTCTTTTGTTCTCATTCTAGTGCTGCCCTGGACTTGCTGACATAGTTCCTGAGTTTACATACATTTAAATGGTATATCACATGCAAAACTTTGCACACTTATTCACAAATACTAGTTGTTATCAACCTTCAGCTATCACCAAATACCAGAGAGGATATTTAGTTTTAAAAGCAGCTAGGCATATGTATGATCTTTCAAGAAAATGTTTTCTGAAAATTCAACAATGGCATGTTTTCAAGTTTGAAATGAATATAATTCCAATTTGTCTTTTTACCTCAAAATTAAGTAATACATTTTAAGATGGAATGGTATTTAACAGATCCTGTCTCAATAGTTTTTATTATCTCTAAGATACAAACACATAAAATAATCTGTTTACAAATTAGCTACAGGAAAGTTGAGAACACTGGAATAAATAATACACTTGAGTTGTATCTAAAGTTTTCAAATAATTTGTGACCAATAATTATGACTTCATAATTCCCATATTCTGTACAATAAATATGAAATCATATTAAAAATCACTATTATGAATTAGAGATAATCATATAATTAAATCAAAGAGAGTGTATAAAAGGATCACCGCAAAGGTGGAGGCAACTTTAGGAATATACTAAAAATGCATCATCCTCTCTGCTAATTATGTTACGTAAAAACCGGACACTAACATAGGTGATCCAATATCAATCCTGAAATTAGACCCACTGAAAATGGACTTAGACATCTTTTAAGGAGTCACAGACACCTTAATAAATGGGAAAAATTAATAAAAAAATTAACTTTTAAAATTGTGGTAAAAACATGTAATGTACAATTTATCATCTTAACCATTTGTAAGTATACAGTTCAACAGTGTTACGTATATCTACATTGTTGTGCAACCAATCTTTAGAACATCTTCATATTGCAAAACTGAAACTCTTCACCCACTAAACATTTCCTATTTCCCCCTGTTCCCAGCCCCTGGCAACAACCATTCTACTTTCTGTTTCTATGACTTTGATTACTCTCAATACCTCACATAAATGGACTCCTACAGTAATTTTTGTCTCTTTAATTTGTTTTTGAAGCTTAATTGAAACTTAATTAGGAAGTAGCCAAGTTTATCCTCCAACAGTTATTGACTAAGCATCAATTTAGTGCAGTGCACTGTGCTAATTTCACTCTATTAATCCACTGAGGTAGGTTTTATACCCACTGTACAAATGTGGAAACTGGAGCTTGACAAGGTGAAGCATTTTACCAAAGTTCACACATCTAATAAGCAGTAGGGCTACTGAATCCAACTTTATCTGACTTTAATGCCCACAGTCTTTTCAACACACTTGGCTGCCTTTTGAAATATTTAAAAATTTCAACATATTTTAAGTAAGTCAAAGTGAGATTTTGTTGTTATTGTTTGCATTTGACTTTGAATGTTGTATATCTTACTCCTCTTTTTTAAATTATTTCATTGTATGCCACATTTCAAGGTATTAGTCTATTTAATGTGTTAAAATTTATCCTAAACCCTGTCCCACAAACCCACTATCAATTACCTTCCCTTTTTCCTTTCCAAGGAGGGCTTGGGAAGGAAGTAACACATAGTTTGTTCGATTGCTCTGGAAATGACACAATTTCCTATTTGTAATATATATATACATATATATAGTGAAAAGAACATTAATTTTTAAAAACGGCACTTACAGTTGTGGAAAGGAACCCCATCCTCTTCAGTTCAGGAACATTATTTAGCAGAGTGAATAGAAATCATTCTACCAAAACTGAAGACTCTCTGCAAACGTGCCTTGCTCTGTATGTGGTGCCTGAACAGTTGCTTACTGAGCCACCTGGGACTAGGAGTCCTCCCGGTGTGGCTCCAGGCTGCCCAACCACGAACCCTAAAAGGCAGAACTGCAATACCCACAGTTCAAATTCCTCACCTGAAACCAGGAAAGGAGGGTGGATGACTACAGTCTTACCATAGGAAGATTTGAAAAAGCAAAGGAAAAAGTAAACATGTATGTATCAGGTGAGTATATCTAAGAACAATCTGTATATATGAAAATATTTCTAAAAAAGGAAGCAGAAGTAGTTTCATGTTTGTCAAGGAGTAAGAAGGCACCCTCACTGTTGGCAAGAACTAAAAAATCTTTATGCAAACAAATCCTCATGCAGTTGTGGAACCTGCCCCACCAGATTCTCTTTCAGTGATTCAGAGCTGTGATGCCTCACTGCCTTGTGGATCAGGTGAGTGAGGACTTCCCAGGTGAGGCCTGAAAGCCTCTAGTTCCTCCTGCATCATCACTGTGATTGCCACTCAGAGGTGCTACAAACATAATGGAGACAATTTGCTCTTCACCTTCCAAACGCCATGGATTTCTTTAAATGTGCTTTAAAATGTGCTTTTTAAATGTGAGCAATATGGAACCTTCGTTGTTTTTTTTTCACTTTCCTTTCCATTTCCTGATGTTGTGTTTTCCTTTTGTACATTCCACCATTACTTCTGAATGCTCAAAATTCAAGAACAAGAAAATTGGAAGGAAAAAAAAGGGAAAAATAAATTTTAAAACTTGCATAAAATTAGAGGTGCAATAATTTCTTCACTGCTTTACAATACTGGAAACAAAAACTGTTAAAAATGAACAAACAAAAACTAAGAAATGTGTTTTCTCCATTTGTTCACACAGTATCTGTCTCTACCTTTTATTTCCAATTAGAAACAGCCCAGCACATGGATAAAGACAAGTACTAGTCTAGACCCAAAAACCTAATGTTAGGATTCAGCTAAAGTAAGCAGATGGCAGAATGGTGATAAAAGAGAAATTTCTTTTCCCCTTTCTGCACTTTATCTCCATTCTACCTCCATTCTACATGCCACCTCCTTAAGGAACACGGGCATGGCACAACCTACTTGATCCACTCAGAGTTCTTCTGAGGTTCCCCCTTGGGCCAACCCACAACAAACTGAGTCATTCTATTTTCCTTTACAAGTCCCCCAATTTTCTGACTAGAACCTAACTTACGTCATTATATGTCATTTATGTTCATTTTTATTCCTTATGTCATTTATATTACTTCCAAAACAAATGGCTCTCCATTTCCCCAAATCCTACAGATTTTTTTCTTCATGCTGTTTCTTCTCCCTGAAATAGTCTTTGCCCACCTTTAAATGTTCAGATCTTTCCTTTCTTTCAAAGCTCAGTGAAAAAACATTCTTCTCCAAGACGCCCTCCCCAGTCTGCCCTAATCTGAATTATTCTCTCTTTCCTAATAAATTCCAAAATACTTTATCTAGTCCTCTCATAATAGATTTTTATACCGTTTCATTGTTATGTGTGTGTGTATATGTGTGTGCACACACATGGGGTATTACCTATAATTGGAAGGTGAGACCTCATTTTATTCCCACCTCCTTAACTTAGTAATTTACATGTAAATGTTACTGATAAACAATCAATGAGTGAAATAACTGAGATATTAACTCTAAACTGGATGCTAATAGCATCTTTATCTCTCCCAGGAAATATGTGCATTTAAAGAAGTCTCTAAATGCCTAGAAGGAATACTGTCACCAGAATGCCCCAGTGGACTAGACTGGTGTGGCTTCTACAACCTTTATTTGCAGAACAGGTATTAAGGTATTAAGTCCATCCTGTTTAATCCTTGATGGTACATAAAATAAAGGCTTTCCTGGATCAGTAGTAATTGCTTCACCAGCTCTGCCTCATGCTGTGCACTTGGCTTTCTATAGTTTCCCAAGGACTGGCCCTGAGTCCCATGACTACCTCTTGAAGACCTAGCCCTACCTCCCTCTATGATTTTTTAAAATTTATTTATTTTTACTGAAGTATAGTCAATTATAGTGTGTCAATCTCTAGTGTACAGCACAATGTCCCAGTCATGCATATATATCCATTTTCATATTCTTTTTCATTAAAAGTTATTATAAGATATGGAATATAGCTCCCTCTGTTATAGAGATGCGACTTGTGTTTTTATCTATTTTTATGTATAGTAGTTAATATTTGCAAATCTCAAACTCCCAAATTTATCCTTTCCCACCACCTTTCCCCTGGTAACCATAAGATGGTTTACTATGTCTTTGAGTCTGTTTCTGTTTTGTAGATGAGTTCATTAGTCTCATCTTTTTTCTTTTTTTTAGATTCCACATATGAGTGATATCATATGGTATTTTTCTTTCTCTTTCTGGCTTACTTCAGTTAGAATGACAATCTCCAGATCCATCCATGTTACTACAAATGGCATTATTTTATTCTTTTTTATCCATCTATGATTTTTGATCATAAGCTCCAGCATTTCTGGCTCCCTTCCCCTATAATCTAATCTCCCAGCTCTGAATTTGAAACTCTGCCCTTTAGACTCCTTTAAGCAATTCTTAATTACTAATGTCTCCCATCCAGGAAGGGAATTCTCTCAGTAGTTGTTAGTTCCTCACATCTCTGCTTCTATGGGATTCTCCCAGTCCTCACACACTTCACTATGTCTTGTACTCTCAGCCACTGTGGAGGAAGTGAGCCTTCTAGATACTGTTGACACACAATGAGATTTCTAAGAACTATCAGATGCAAAGGCAGGCTGGTGAAGGTGATTGCTGTCTGAAAAGTCTTCCCAACTCTATAACATACCATAAGGACTGCTAGCCCCTGAGCTAGTCCCTGAGCCTGCATGTGAATATAATCTAAGCTATCTAAATTTGGGCAGGGAGTTTATCTTCAACACACAGCTCAGGGTTGCTTCCTTAAGGAAGTCTTTTCTGATCCCTTTATCCCTTCCTTTTCCCCTTATATGTTTCCTGTACTAACTTACTCAAGTATCTGACTGGGTTGATATTTTGTTCACGTTAATCCAAGATGTTTTCACTTCTCCCCTGAAATCATGATCACCTGCAGCCAAGATATTTATTATACCTAAAAAATAAGTAGGATATGGACATGTTATTTCCTGACAGAAAGAAAGTATGGAAAGCCAGCCTCTTCCAGCCCAGTGTATGGGAAGAAGAGAGCCAAAGGGTGAGTGGAACTCTAAGGGGACTTTAGTTGAAATATTCTGATAGGTACTGAAAAATAAAATATATCAGGAGTAGGGCCTCAGTGTTCATTTACATAGCCAACACCACTGTATTCTTTGACCACTTGGGAGAGCTAATCAGAGACTAACTATCCCCACATTCTTCATTGTGGGAATGAGAAGGTGCCAAGAAGGCAAATGAACTTGCAGATGCTAGAGGTTGGGACAAAGAAGCTACATTATGATTTTGTGACTCGAAAAAAATGAATCATCCATCAATGGATGACACATTTGTACAACATTCCAAAAAGACCTGTTGGTCAAGCACCAGAGTCAAAGCAAACTTCTCCACAGCAGGTGACTAGCCAGCACGCAGATGGCATCACTTGGTTTCAGACCCCCTTTTTTACCCCATACAATAGTGTTACATCTCTTACTGCACACTCAGGTACCATCTTAGAGAGAAATTGGAGAAAGAGGAGAAATTGAAAGACTGAGAGTATAAAACGAGTCACCCAAAAGATTATTTAAGCCAAAAGAGACTGTGATGTGTTGTGAGTTTAAAATCTGCCTCACCCCATCCAGCCTCTAATGGTGACAATGAACATAGAAGCTAAAATGCCAATGATTCACTGTCCCGTCCAGATAAGGGAGAAGGCAAAGCACTTAGAGTGGCTAATCAAACACAGTTATCTGGGACCTGGAATTAGGAACTGGTGACACAAAAAAGCAAAGACAAAGGAGAATCTACTCTCAAAATGAACATAGGCAGCTGTGCAAACAATGTCCTGCTCTGGATATGTCTACTGGGGCCATGGAGAATAGAGCTTAGGACTCTTGTAATGGTCACATAATTGTGATTTCTAGGGCTTAGCAGAAACAACTAATTTATCCAGTAGCATTATTTTGGCCGCTGCTCTGGCCTCACAAGCAATGTCCCTGGCTCTCCAGCCCTCTCAGCAATTGTGGGACTGGAGTTTGGTGTGTTGCTCTTCAATTTAATCAGTCGAAATCATTTGCTATTGCTTAAGAACTCTGATGGATATATACATCTAACGTACATCACTGTAACAGATATCACCTCTGCCTACCCGACTTTACTCAGACTCCATCTGATCGAGGACTGGATCTTATTTAACCTCTAAATATCTAAAAGCTCCACAGTGCTTGGCAATGGTACACATTTGTTGACCTAAACTGAACTGACCAGTAAAATGAGGAAGCCTTGCTTACAGTTCTTCTAACTTAAAGATTCTCTGATCACATGGAAGCTGTCAGTTGCTCATTAATGCAGAGGTAATTTTTACTCCTAAAGCTACATCTGATTTTGAATTTAGACTTTACTCCCTTTCTGTATCTGCTAGGGAGCAGAGCTAGTGACTTCCTGCACCCAGAAGGGGAAATTAAACACAAAAAGTGCTTTGAATATGCCTGGAGTGTTACTTAATAATTAAAAGGGGATTTTCTTGGTATCCTTTAATGACCTATATTAAATGTCACTTATGTTGGTCCCTTTAGTACAAATATACCAGAAAAAGTGATAGGAAACAGCCATATTCCCCACATACTCAGATTTTTCCCCATATGAAGCTATCTTGGAAAAAGAAAGGCCACAATGGTAAGCTTATAAGAAAGTTCCCCCTGGTGTTTTTCTCTGACCTGTTTCAGTATGTATTGACTCTTAGACCCTTGGGCTGCCTGTGACATCCATTTTCTGGGTCACTTTGTCCCTGAGTCAAGATCACATTGTAACTTTCCAAAAACATTTAACTCTGTGCATTTAGCAGTTAACTTCAGTGAGTATCTCAAATCATAGTAAAATGTTAGGGCCAAAGTTAATTTAGGTCAGATTGATCCTAATTTTCCTAGATTAAGAAAGTGAGCCAAGTTGTTCTTACAATTTCATGTTTTCCTTCATTACATCTTTCTGGCTCCTTACTCAACCAGAAGATGAATCATCCGTAAATTGACCTCCACCAAATTGTAATTTAGCACTTAGTTGCTGTTTTCTTTCACTTGTTGCTTTCAGAACAACACACAAAGGAATATAGGCCAACTCTTCACATGATCATAAAATGTTTCCATGCTGCACTTTTGTTACTAATCAACAACAGAGAATGCTCTGCGCAGTTTTTACTGG